AAGAAAAAAATCATGTTCTTTGCAACAACATGGATGCAGCTGGACTGTCACAGAAACAAAAAACAGAATACCACATGTTCTCACTCATAAGTGGACCTTAAACATCAGGCATGTGAGCACAATGGAGAGAAAAACAAACACTGGGTGCTTCTCAAGGATAGAGAGAAGGAGGGGGGATAAGGGGTACACAACTACCCACTGGGTACCATGTCCACTACCAGGGTGAAAAGAGGACTCACTAGAAGCCTGAGCCTCATCTGTGTGCTATTGTTATATCGCAAGTTCTCACATGTACCCCATAACTCTAATATAAAAAAAAGAAATGTAGACACTGACCATACATACATGGCATTGGCAGATGTGGGAGGAAGCAGATCCTCCTATTTGTTGTTGGTGAGCATCTCAACTGGTATAAATCAATCAAAACAAAACGTGCACACTGGCCCATATAGCAATTATGCTCTAAGAATTAATACTGTAGGGAAACTCACACATGTGTATAAATAGATGATGACTCAACCGTCCAAAAAATTTCAACGGCCATTACAAAAAGGATGAGGCAGCTCTTTACTGAATACCTCCCTGTCTACAGTAGGAAATATTCTCCCCGACTTTGGATGAAAGAAAAAAGCAAAGTCTGAAAGGGTGGGTATGGTATGCCACCTTCTGTGGGAAAGAATGAGTTTGAGTGCATGCCACACTTGTGTCCTCTGTATATCTCTGGGAAGGTTACACAGGGGCTGCTAATAATGGCTGTCTCTCGGTTGTGAGAACTAAGGAGGGAAGGACACTTCTTTCTACCATTTGGCCTCTGGTTCCTTTTCAATACTTAACCCTGTGGGTATGACTATTGTGGAAACAGATTGTTTCCGGTTACCTGGGGACTGGAGGCTAAAATATTGTTTAGGGCCATGATGTTTTTTGCCCTGGCTGAAGTGTGGCCTTGATGGTATTCAGTTTGGACAAAGACCTGGAAAAGCCCAGTTAGTAAATGTTTACTTAAATAGGAGCACATGGATTGTTAGGGTAAGCTTTACCCAAATGGGACATAAGCCCAAGGAATAAAAACTCAGTGACCAAGTAAGAAGAGAGCTTCCCAGATCTTTCCAGCCTCCACTTCTTGTGAACAGTGTCACTGCAGCAGTGTCCTCCTCCCCATACCCCACCTTTCCATTTGGGACACTGGAGACACAGGGCTTTACCTGTTCTTGCTCAGACAGGCTTCACCTATTCCTGTCCTGAGTGGCCCCATCATTTCCCAAAAGATTTTGTGTGCTTGGCTGATTAAATCAGGACTCTTATCTAACCTTATAGTGGGAGTGTGTGGATGTGGGCTGTCCTACAATCTGGAACAGGCTGGGAGTGCTGCATAAATCTCTTCCAAAGAAAGAAAGGCAGGCTGAGATGAGGGGAAGGAGGCAGAGGTCCAACGATACCTCCTTCGCTCCTCTCTGTGGCATTCTCTCCAGAGGGGTGGAAGGGAATGTCCACAGAGGGGGGTGGCAGGGAAGTGTGAAGAAGCCTGGCTGGCCCCCGTGCAGATGTTATGATTAGGAAGATATTCTTTGGTCTGACGGTTCTGGAAAACATTCTGCAAGTGGCACTTTTAAACAAAGACTCTCTGCTCAAATCTTGGCTTCATACAGACTAGGAAAAAAAAATTCATTTTCCATCTGCCAGTACTATTAAACATTGGCTCAGAACTCTCCATTTTTATAAGTACATTACCCCCACCTTAAAGCCACAGATTTTATAGCAGGCAATTAGGCAGCAATCCCCGATGCTTCCTTGTTTTTTGGTAGTAAAAGAAAAAAGAAAACCCTAGCTTTTGTTGCAGCTACTCTTGTTGATTCTTGTCTTGTTTTTGGTTTAGAGTAAGGGGCCAAAGAAATGAAAAACTTCTAAAGCTTCTTTAGAAGGTTGTGGAATACTCCCTGGGGGTTTCAGAGGCAAGTTCTGACTGAGTTCACAAAGGGAAGGCAAAGAACTGGTGGTTGTAAGACATTATCAGAGCAGACGGGGTGCCAGATGGGCTGGTGGAGGAAGGCACAGAAGGCAGGTGGGAGAGGCGCAGGTGCAGAGAACCTGCCAAGAGTGGGTGGGGGTGGGCACCCGGACAGCCACCTGCGGCTGCCACTGAAGCTCTCTAGAGACTACTTCAGTGATATGACTCTCCCAGAGATGCATGGCGGGTTAGCACGAGGGCCCTTAAAGGTAGCATAAATCACCCCGTCAGCAAACGCCTCCTAGCTCCAAGTGCCTGTTTGAGCCCAATGAAGACTATTTCCTGGAAGGGTGATGGTCTGCTTGCAGAGATTCTCCATCTTGGCGGCTCGCTGGAATTATCAGAAACAAAAGCGCAAGTGCTCAGGCCTCACCCTAGACCAAATATACCAGAACCTCAGGGGACAGAGCTCAACCCTTGTACTTCATGAAAACTCCTCATTTCCCCTCCATGACATTAGATATGTGAACATTAGTTCAAGGCAGACAATTCCTCTTTGGAAGGACCATTTAAAACTTCTACTAGGTATCTATCTGCCATAGAACATATGATTTTAAGAATTAAATCTGCAAACTCATGAGCCAGAAAGACCATCCTCACTTTAACAATGGGAAATTGAGGTTTCCAGTTCAGTAAGTTGACCAGAGTCACAGAGCTGATGCCTGATGGAGCTGAGAGGAAAACCTGGGGCACAGAGCCCCAAATGTGCCAAATTCATAGCTGGAAGTGACCCTACAAGTCAGCAAAAACATTATGTTATGTGATCGTTAGAACAGCCTGGTGAGAATGCTAAGTAATGTATTTTCATGTGATGAAAGAGGCTTCACATGTTGCTTAGGGTTACCCAGCAAGCCAGTGGCAGAGTTAAACCAAAACTGCCATTTGCTGACTCTTAGCCCAGGGCACTCCTTAATAGTTACCAAGGGATGCAGTTGCCCTACTAACCCCGGATTTTCAAGTGAACTGATTATAGAACAGTATACTTAGCTGTTCATAAAAAGAACCTGTTACCATCTCCACCTGCCCAGGCAAAAAGAATTAGGTCTTAACAACCCATATGTCAACTTCCTTATTGCTTCTAAATGAACTTAGGCAGAACTTGCCTTTGGAGCTGCCAGCCAGGGCAGGATGATGACCTCCAGGATCTGGGGGTACAGCTCTGGGGTTAATGTGTCCCTCTCACTGACCATAATCTAAGGGTCCTGCATAAAAGTTATACTGCCTGGCTTAGGGCTTCGATTTCTTTGGCCAGCTGAGATTTGTCAGGCTGGCGGAACAAGGGGCAGTGAGAAAGTAGGACCCAACTGAGATTGACAACAACTTCCTTTTTCTTCCCCTTGTATTTTGGGAAGATAATCTTAAGTCCATAGTACTTAGAAATGGAAGGTGCCCAAAGACATGTAGAATCTATGCCTAATGAGAATTCATCAAGATCATTTTACAAATATTTAGAGAAAGAGCTGGGGGAAAGAGTACATTTCATTCATAGACTGTAGAATTAAATTAAAGAGAAAGATTTGACAATATGACTACCCTGTTGTTATCTTGCTTGGAAAAATAAAAAAGAAAAAAATAAAACCCACAAAAATCTTCCCAAAGACATTCTTGGACCACTTAACTGGTGTATTTATGAGGATCATGTCTTAGCCCACTGTTCTTGTTTTATCCATGCTAATGGTACATTTCTGTGCGTGACAATAACACAAGAGAGTGAACTCAATTTTGTACTCACCTCAAGTTAGATGAGTAACAACCCAGAACACAGACACACAGCATTATTTTCTTTGTCAAAGTCAGAAAACACAGTCCTGGGTTATGAATACTAAGTAGCAATAAGTAAAACGCTTTGGATATTATGTTAGGTTAAAAAAAAAAAAGCATGCAGTTGACAGGTGCCATGATTTAACAATGCTAAATCTATGAGGTTGTTTGTGAGTTAATGGAGAAATGAAAGACTGGAAGAAAATTGACCAAAAGGATCATTCTTATAATCTAATTTTCTAATAATGGGATAATAGCACTTTAGGTCCTGTCTGTTAGTATGGGTCTCTTGATAAAGATACCTGGGGCTCCCTGTGGTCTTTTCTGCAAGTGTAGAGATTCCTGATGATGTATTTTTTATGTTCCCTGGAGAAAGAGCATGTGCAGAGGAAAGAGGAAGAGAAAAGGAGTCAGATGGCCCACTTTGGCCTTGACTTTTAAGGAATGCTGTGTAATCTTGGGAAGAAACTTGATTTCTTTACTTGCTACCTAGTCATTTGCTGGTGACCATCCTCATAGATCAAGTACAAAAAGAACCATATGCAGAAAGCCCCAGACCAAAGTCACAAACTTCGAATGACCACAAGGGCCAGGCAGTTAACTAAAGGAATGAAGTGGGCTGGGTAATGTTAACATAGATATTGTTTGCTTCACAACACTTTAAGACTTATTTTTTATTATCACCAAAATGTGTATTCTCCCATTTTTCCTCAAACACATAAGCTTGACAGACTTATCTTTTGTTTTTCCACTTTATAGGAACGTGGACATAAATATTTCTCATTTCTCTTATCTGTATAATTTTAAAAGCATGCATAATGAATGTGCTGCTGACTCAACAATAGGATACATAAAGAAGGTGACTGGAGCTGTGATGAACTGAAGACTGCATGCCCAGGCTAAGTGATATGGACTTCTCAACACAAGCCAATTGTTGACATGAGGAAATATTGGCTTAGTCTAGAGAAGTTTTACAATTCCATTTTAAAAAGAGAAACCAGAAATCTAAATGCTTACACAAGTTTCCTGATTTGTAAACATTGAGCACCTCAAATGAATAAGAATTGTCTTTGCCGACAAAACACATGTGTGGATTACATACGGGGCCAAGGGTGCCATTTTGAGAGCACTTCAGGGTTTTTACAGTTTTTTCTCTTTCACATCCCAGAGCCCTCTCTCATCTCTTTCCACTAGAGGACACTTACAGTTCAAAGAAGAAAAGGCAAGGACTTACTATGGAGCTGCTAAAGGCCACAGGAGGCTGTGAGGTTTCATAGCAACCCATGGACCTTTGACGGGAGTGGCCCTGGATGGGCACCCGGGCACTCTGGCTCCTTCTCAGTGGTTGGGCACCTTTTTGGCCTCTCATAGTTGCTGGTCCCTGGGCCTGTCTGGCTGGGAAGGACAGACATTGGTATTGGGTCCACTCTTCACTGTCTGAGTCCGGTTCCTTTGGGGTCTCCAGTCGCTTGGCTGCAAGAAAAGAGTCTTGTTATTGTACCAGTTGTACCTTGACTGGGCCATGATTAGGACGATTCTAGACATCAGGGTGAGAAAAACCTGCACTGCTCTGGGAAATTGGCAATGGGCTGGCTACTGACACTGGAGAAAGAAGGGTACAACAGAATCCCACAGATTCAAACCCTGGCTCCACTGCCTACTAGTTGTGTGACTTTGAGTTTTGACTTAACCTGTAGCTCTATTTCCTCAATTTGGGTTTTAAAATTCACTTAACTCATAAGGTTATTTTGAAGATTTAATGATATAATATGTTAAAGTAATTAGCATACTCTAAGTACTGGTAATGGTAACTGTTATTATTAAAAAGGGATCAGATGCTCCCATGCAAATGGTCAAGTATCATCATAGCAAAGGAGCTAGGGCTGCCTATAATATCTTCTTTCTATTCCTCCATTCCTTCCACCCAAAATAATGAATGCTACTGTCTTGAGAGTTTCTTTCCAGAGAGAGAGAGAGAGAGAAAGAGAGAATGAGAATGTGTGTGTGTGGTGGGTGGGGGAGGGGAGGGTGGCTGAAGGAATCAGATCAGTTTTATAGAACACCTTTAGTCCATGCAAGATAACAATAGTCTAGGCATCTCACAACCCTATTTCCTAAATCAAAGCTTTGCCTCAATAAAAATCGAAGAGATTTGTTAGATGGAGGCCATTTTTCTGAATGTGTCAAATCTGACCAGGTGCCCAGACTTGTCCTGACATGTCAGGTAAGGTGACTCAAGACATTCCTAAGCCTTGCTCATATGCTTGGCATGCAATGAGAAGTGTCTACACTCCACTGCTGACAGATAAAAATCCTGAATTGTAAATTGTACCATATAAGCGTCCACTAGAGGGGTACCACATATGGGATCACTTCTGGTCCTTGGAAACAAATAAAAGTTTACAAGTAATTAGAACAATGCTGATCTGCAAAGTGGAAGACCACAGGGATACGAGAAACAACTTGCCAAGATGCCACACAGCTTCTAGGGGTGTTAAACCCAAATTTCAAAATCTGAGAGACCACCAAAGAGCCAGCTCTGATGCAAACACACAAGGGTCTTTATTCAGGCTCGAGTCTGGGCTCACGAACGAAGCCGGCTGTGGCTTCAGGGACGAGAGCCCCGTTCCAGCATGGCAAGCAGTCTTTATACACCATTACAGAGGGAGGGGAAAGAACTCTAAACTTGGTTTTACATGATTGGGTAATCTCTCCTAATGGGTACGGGAACACTTGGTATTGGTAGGTGCCTTTTGTGGGCTTCAACCTGACTGCCCGTGATTGACAGAAACCCACCCAACAGGCAGAGTGGAATGTCAGATAAGTAGGTTCATACAGTCACTGCGTATAAATTAACCTGAGCAAGCAGGCAGATTACTAGCGTCTCCAAGTCTGCAGCAAAGGAATGTCTGAAAGGGGCTTATCGCTTTAACATTTACATCCCGTTGTAAAAGCAGAAGTCAGCATGGCAACTGGGACTAACAATGCTTAACCCAGGAGTTCTAAATACAAACACCACTTAAGACATTATATAATTACACAATCAGTTGCTACCCGGCACCCGACATAT